TGTCACCGCCCTAGTGTCACCACTATGTCACCACCCTAGTGTCACCACCCTAGTGTCACCGCCCTAGTGTCACCGCCCTAGTGTCACCACTATGTCACCACCCTAGTATCACCACCCTAGTGTCACCACCCTAGTGTCACCACCCTAGTGTCACCGCCCTAGTGTCACCGCCCTAGTGTCACCGCCCTAGTGTCACCACTATGTCACCACCCTAGTGTCACCGCCCTAGTGTCACCACCCTAGTGTCGCCGCCCTAGTGTCACCACTATGTCGCCACCCTAGTGTCACCGCCCTAGTGTCACCACCCTAGTGTCACCACTATGTCACCACCCTAGTGTCACCGCCCTAGTGTCACCACCCTAGTGTCACCGCCCTAGTGTCACCACCCTAGTGTCACCACTATGTCACCACCCTAGTGTCACCACCCTAGTGTCACCACCCTAGTGTCACCACCCTAGTGTCACCACTATGTCACCACCCTAGTGTCACCGCCCTAGTGTCACCACCCTAGTGTCACCGCCCTAGTGTCACCGCCCTAGTGTCACCGCCCTAGTGTCACCACTATGTCACCACCCTAGTGTCACCGCCCTAGTGTCACCACCCTAGTGTCGCCGCCCTAGTGTCACCACTATGTCGCCACCCTAGTGTCACCGCCCTAGTGTCACCGCCCTAGTGTCACCACTATGTCACCACCCTAGTGTCACCGCCCTAGTGTCACCACCCTAGTGTCACCGCCCTAGTGTCACCACTATGTCGCCACCCTAGTGTCACCGCCCTAGTGTCACCACCCTAGTGTCACCACTATGTCGCCACCCTAGTGTCACCACCCTAGTGTCACCACCCTAGTGTCACCACTATGTCGCCACCCTAGTGTCACCACCCTAGTGTCACCACCCTAGTGTCACCACTGTCACCACCCTAGTGTCACCACCCCAGTGTCACCACCCTAGTGTCACCACCCTGGTGTCACCACCCTAGTGTCACCGACCTAATGTCACCACCCTAGTGTCACCACCCTAATGTCACCGACCTAATGTCACCGACCTAGTGTCACCGCCCTGGTGTCCCCCTGCCACGATTCACCATGACAACCAGCGCCACCATTTGGCTTCCCTGTTCCACCCACCATTATCCCGACCCACATGACCCTGACCCCATTTTCTTGGGGTCTCATGAACCCTGCATGTTCCTGTTGTAAAAAGCTATTTATAGCACACGACCCCCCTACGTTAGATATTCCCAGCGTTTATCAAACAGATCGCGGGGTTAAGGAAAGATAACTCGTTTATTGTCCTCGGCTCATTGCATTCACTTGTTAGCAGGGAATACAATAAGCAGAGGCGGCAACAGCTAGAGTAGGTAACTGCTAGAGTAGGCAACTAACGCGAGGCAGGTTACAGTAGGTACCCGTTACAGCTGGGTGAACTCAGGGACGTCGTACTGCTTCAAGCCTGGGATCCGACACACCACCCAACCACCACATCGCCTATTATAGGAAATAATGAAAAAAACAAACAGTGGTTGCTGACCTGACGACGAATGACCAAATGTAAAGACAAACTAAACAAGCAGCGTACAAATTAATGACTTTTGAAATCTGAAGATATTTTAATGAAGCAACAAAGTATTTATACCGGGAGAGATCCAGTGAAAGATATTTGGAGAATATCTTGGACGGTCTACATCAATATTTGAATACTGATTGCCTACTCTTATAACAGTTACAGAATAAATTATTCTGATTAATTAACACATTTTAAATAAACACATAATTAGGATACATTTTTTTACCGGAAAATTTTTAATACAACTGTTTTGATAATATTAAAATAAATAAATAAATAAGGCTACAATTAAGTTAATTATTTATAGCACTTAAAATTCTAATCTATACGGGAAACATTTTTTAAGTACACATCTGTGATACACTGGCAATAAAACTATTATAGCTGATGTGTCTAGCAGCTGATATTGGAGTTCTGCCGTTCATGAAGTCTATCTACCGCCCCCCCCCCCCCCCCGATCGAGATGGAATTTATATAGTGTCGTCCCCCCCCCCCCCCGAAAATATAAAGTGCGCCCCCCCCCCCTCCCACAAAAAAAATGTAGACCGCCCCCCCCCCCCCCCCCGAAAATATCAAGTGCCCCCCCCCCCCCCGGAGAAAAAAAGTCTGGAAGAAACACTGAGGGACCACAGTTTGTTTTGTTTCTGTGATTTGTCTTTGATTACCTGGCTACCTGTATTTGGCCAGTCTTTGATTACCTGGCTACCTGTATTTTGTTGTACTCTTCGATATCACCCAGGTCTATGGGCCACAACTCCAGGTATTTACAACCAAATATTTATCAAATTTTATGGGGCTCTCAGGTCTATTGAGAAAGTCAGGACAGCTGTTGGTCGACGGTGGAGGGGGGGGGGGGAGGGGTGGGGTGAGGTGGGGGTGCATGTCACCAAACTGTCACCTTATCAGTACGAGTTACGCAAGGGAATTTCCATTGGTAGGTCTCTAGTCTACAGTTGCTCTATGTTAGGTCTTGTCAACAAATGATCAGACGACGGTTGTCAGTGGGGACAGTGGTGTCAAGTCTATGTTGTCAAGTCTATATTGTCAAGTCTATGTTTTCAAGTCTATATTGTCAAGTCTATGGTGTCAAGTCTATGGTGTCAAGTCTATGTTGTCAAGTCTATGGTGTCAAGTCTATATTGTCAAAACTATGTTGTCAAGTCTATGGTGTCAAGTCTATGGTGTCAAGTCTATGGTGTCAAGTCTATGGTGTCAAATCTATGCCCCTAATGTCAAGAGTACAGGCCATTTCATTGTTGTCAACATTTGACATGTTAAATTTTCCAACAAAACCCAATAAGATCGACTTTCTCAAACACCGGTCATAAAATCCTGCACCGAAATTAAAGCATGGAGTTACCTTTCCTTGCTCATACATTTAAAACAAAATCCAGTCACATGGGTAGGCTACAGATGCAACTTTCATCTAGTTATAATTGAGGCTTTTTTGTGTGTGTGGGGGGGGGGGGGGGGGGGAATCCAAAAACGCCTTCATACGATAATAGCAGACAATATATTATAAGCCGTGTTTGACCCTCTACACCCCCCTCCCTCCCCCAACGATGATACTATAGAGTAGAGAAAGTGAACCTATTTTTTTTTTGTACTATACGCAATTTTTTTATATTAAAAAAATGTAAACATAGTTACGTCACTTTCTATGAAACCTTCGACCCCCCCCCCCCCTCTACTTACAATGTAGTCCTTGTGTCCCACTAGGCGCATGACGTCACTTCCTCTATCATTAAATGTATAGATTGACGGAATTCCCTCTAACACAAAAAGCATCCCGTGTCAGCATAGCATGCACTAAATAGTCCCGTGTAAGTTAACTACCGTAGCAGCGTCCATATGTCGTCATTTTGTTGACGGTAATTACGTAATTACAGAAGCTCATTATAGTACCAGACAAATTAACATAGCGTACTCGGTGACAGAGTACCATTAATGTTAACATAGTCTCTTGAGGGAGGTTTCATGTTAACATAGACTCGTGAGGAAGGTCTTACACCTCGTGTTAACTGAGATTCGTGTAGGATCGTAACACCACTCCTGTTAACTATTGTTAACATACAGGCTCGTACAAGGCAGTACAGCACCAGATAACACTCTAGTAAAAACAGTCGAATGAAAAAATTAGCTGGAGGGGAAGTAGGAAGTTATTGATTGCAGGATTAACTAAAAGTAGGAAATTAAAAAAGAATTAAAAAATGAGTTTATGTAACAGGTGTCACCATTAAATATTTTTACAAAATTACAGTCAAAGGGAAGTAATAATTAAAAAATTAAAATATTTTGTAATTTGAAGTTGTCCCCCCTACAAAAATGAGAGGCAAAACTAATGAATTGTTTTCGTGGTGATATTTAATGTTCTTTTATTACGTGTGGCATATTTGTCTCCCCTACTACAAGGTGTCATACTTTTAAGGAGATATCTGGTATCATTATTTCACAAATTTGATCTGTTTCAGAATCAAAGCAATTCAAATCAGAGGCGGATTTCACCATATAGGGGGTGACTACATGAGCAAAATAATTGCAAAAAAATATATGAAGAAATTTGCTTTTTGTCAGTTTAATGAATGATTAATTAGAGTATTTTCAATCGATGGCTGCGGTGGGACGACACTATATATAATAATTTACTATGTAAAAGATTTTTTTCCCACTTGAATTAATTAGTGGATTAAAATAGTGTGTAAACAAAATTGGAGGGGGGGGGGGGCGGTGACACCAATTACAACTATATATATATATATAGCCTACATTTTCCTTTGGTGTGGGGTGACAAGTGGTGCGGCACCGGGTGACTCCTGACCTAGAAACGCCACTGATTCAAATTTAACACACACTATGGGTTACAAGTCAGGGGGGATAATTTGTAATTTATTTGGTTGCGGCCCTTGTGTAACCGCAACTGTTGATGGGTATTTTTTCCTTCTAATGTTCCCATGTGACCTCTGGGTAGTTGTACCTGTGTCCGCGGCACTCAACCCCCAGGCTGCGTATAACAAGTACCGTTCAGTTGTAGACCTAATGAAGGGCTATATTCCGTGTATGGGTAGATTGTAATGGATTTAGCGTATACGGATTTGCTGTATATAAGATAGGATCTATTGACAAAAGCGTCGTTGGTTGTGTTATCTCTCAGGTTCATCCCTTAACAACACTACACCTCAGTGGGTGACACCACATACCTGCTGTAGCTGTTACACAAAATCTTAGTTAAAGTTAGTTGCTGACTTTTTCACGGTACATGCAGTAAATAACATGCTGACTACAGACTTGACCAAATACAACCCCATCTTCATCTTTTGAAAACAGTTCAACAATTGAAGTATTAGACAACACAACCACATGAGAAGTATCACAACAAAACCACACAAGAAGTATCACAACAAAACCACACATGAAGTATGAGCAAAAGACCAGCAGTACAGTGGTAAAATTTATTTAATAGTCTGGTGTCCAGCTAATCTCTGTACATGGCCCTCCAATGTTGCTTCCCTAGCCTCATGTTTTGGACTTTGGCCCTTAGCCAGCTCGGTGTTGTCTTGGGTAACATATCAACATTGGGGTACTGGGGGCGGGGCTGGGGTGGCTTTGTGGGGTCAACGCCCTTCAGTTTCTCCTTTAGTACTTCCTCTTGTAGATCCTTGACATCACGGTAAAGGTCAAGGTAGCTGAAATAGACAATCAGTGTTTGTTACCAAGGTCAAGGTAAATGAGGCAGACAATCAGTTTTATTAGTTCTTGCTCCAGCATTCAACTGTTACATCTTTAAACCCAATTTTTCAACTTGCGACAAACTCAGGTCCTAAAACAGTGTCACCACCACTAGTAGAATCACCACCACACTACCACAGTATCACCACCACACTACCACAGTGTCACCACTAGTAGAATCACCACCACACTACCACAGTATCACCACCACACTACCACAGTGTCACCACTAGTAGAATCACCACCACACTACCAGTGGAACCACTAGTAGAATCACCACCACACTACCACAGTGTAACCACTATTAGAATCACCACCACACTATCACCACCACACTACCAGTGTCACCACCACACCACCACACTGTCACCACCACACTACCACAGTATCACCACCACATTACATAGTGTCACCACTAGCAGAATCACCACCACACCACCACCAACGTAAACCAGTACTCACAGATTAAAGGGCTCCTTGTGTGGGTAATCTTTTTGTTCAGGTGCATAAACAGGTGGATGGATGAACTCAAATACTGGCTCCTTCATATCTGGTGATACAACACCATCAATACATCTATATACAACACCATCAATACATCTATATACAACACCACCAATACATCTATATACAACACCACCAATACATCTATAGATAACACCATCAATACATATATATACAACACCATCAATACATCTATAGACAACACCATCAATACATCTATATACAACACCACCAATACATCTATATACAACATCATCAATACATCGATATACAACACCATCAATACATCTATATACAACACCATCAATACATCTATATACAACACCACCAATACATCTATATACAACACCATCAATACACCTATATACAACACCATCAATACACCTATATACAACACCATCGAAACATCTATATACAACACCATCGAAACATCTATATACAACACCACCAATACATCTATTTACAACACCACCAATACATCTATATACAACACCATCAATACATTGAACAAGAAGCTTAAGAACTCTGGACATTGTTTTTTTTAAATGTAAACAAATATCTAAAATGTCCTTCAAAAATACCCTCAAAAGTAAATGTAAACATTTTCTTTTGTTCTTCTTACCTAAGACATTGTGGAACACAGACTTGACTGACTTGTCCCACTCACTCTGGAAGAAAGACAGTCCAGCAGGTGTCAGATGGTTTTCGTGGTTGCGATAGAACTCCAAAGTGTTGAAACTCCGCTCACGTAGAGAAACACTGAAAAAAAAAACGTCAGCCTTCAAATAATCATGTACTGACATTGTATCCTACATAACATTAGCTTGAATCTTCCTTCAAACAACAGAACAAAACAAAAATATAGCAATGTCCTGATGCTGGCAGGTTACCATGCTCTAATGGACACCTGACTCTGCTACTGGGTACAGAACTGACCAAACCATCCCTTCATATTCAGAGCTCACAAAGACAGATGGACTCTACTTATGCTATATTATCACTAAGAAACATGACAGTTAGATATCCCCCCCCCCCTCACCATACAACTATTTATAACACAATCATATGAGATGAGGACTACTTACCAATTCTTAGATCTCTGTAAATCCTTGAAGTCAATTTTCCCTTTTTGCTTGTATAATACGAAAACGTATCTTAAGAAACCAACACCTTTGGGTGGGAAGGGCTGCAAGTAGTCACATATTACTTCCCCTTGATCCACATTTTTACCTGGTATATTACCACTGTAATAAATCAAATAAAATGATTGAATATCCAATCCTAATTAAAGAAATATTTGGAAGAATTAAATGAGAAAAGTGGATGAACAAACAAGAAATGTTTCAGTCAGAAGGGGAGTAGAGCAGTGACTCACATGAACCAGTGTAACAACTCCTGCTTGCTGTCTGCCAGATTCCCATCTGGACTGGTCAGTACCAGTGTCCAGTAACTGTCATCATCAGCTTCATAGAAGACAGAAGGTTGGATGGCTGCCTGGGAAAACACGAAAAATATTCACTCAATACATTTATTAACAATTAATGTCCCATTCATTCTACCAAAACTCCACCCATGACGGCCCGATGTAAGGAGCATAACTCTGTATGATCAAGTGAATAGTTTCACAAAATATTTGTTTTTGTCTAAATGAAATTAAAAATTAAGATAAAAACTACTGCTTAATGTTGGGAACAAACCTGGCTTTCCAACAGTATTAAATAGAATATATTATATTTGGTAAAAGTACAGTATAAAAATAAAAAATGTCGGAGAAAATTCAAAACAGGTCATTTTCGGTAGTCAACTTTATTTATTTTTTTCTAAACAACTATGCATCGAATTTAACAGTTAAATATCAATTTGGTTATGTTTAAGATATATAATTCATAAAATACATGCCTAGATACGTTTAGAGGCATTACTTTATTTTATTTTTAATATTAAATCTACTAAAAATAGGACAGATGAGTCTAAAATTTCGAGATAGAAAGAAACTATTATTTTTTATCTTTCAAAAGCGCCATTGAAATTAGAAGACCGGAAAAGGATGCTGAAACAATCCGACTTCCTGTTTAGTTAAAAATTAGGATTTGTAGGCCAAATTTTAATGAAACAAATTTAATTTTTCTATGCGTATTGTAAGCGGGCGGCAGCGGGCGTTACGGGACATTAACGGTGTCGGGCGGCAGCGGGCGTTACGGGACATTAATGGTTAACATAACATCACTTCAATAAAGCTTTGACAACATTGAATCAATTAGTAATATTTTTTTAAACTTTACAAAACCTCATCCCATCAACACAATAACTAAGAAAACTATTTTTAACGACTTTTTAAAAATTGTTTAATAAACTTGGAGTTATAATTTAATTAGTTCAAAAAAAATAATTTAATGAATAGAATGGGATGGTATGGCTGAAGGGTGGAGCACACATCTGCTAATCCAACTGCAGCCAAAAGTGTTTATAAACAAAAAATAAACCAGTGCATGTCAGCCCACATACCTCTGTAGCTTCAACGTGATTTCCATATCTGACCGGGGTGATAAACTCCTCGTCGTAATCAAACCAAATATCAAGGGGAACCACTGGATAAAAATGAGCACCATCAAAAAGGTCTTGGAAAATTCCATAGTGCTCTGCCACCTTTTTCACCTGCGTTGGCATGCTTTCTTTAAACCATTCTTCCTTCACTTTCTCTAGGTCAACATTCACTGAATGATGGGAAAGAATTAGGCATAGAAATCACAGCAACAATCAAGATTAATTTTAATACTTTTATATCTAATTTTATCACTAATAAAATATTCACTATAAGAAAGGGCATGACTTAGGCACAGTAAACATAACAATCAATATCTTTTATATAGCTCATCATATACAACAGAATGAAAAAAATAGACAAAAATATCTACATTCTCTGCGTAGTGCCAACAATTCTAATGGCGCTTTCTGTTTCATCCATTGCCTGGTCAACTCAAGCTGTTTGCCTTGGTAATTGTCTCTCAAAGGTAAACCTATGTTGATGCCATAGCTTGCTGGGTGTTGATACCTTGTTTTCCAGGCTGCAATACATTATCAACATTTTTTCTATTTTTAGAAGTTATCAGTAATACATGGTAACAAGCATAAAAATTGCATTTTTAAAGCCCTACTATTTATTATTAGGGTGTAGGCTAAAGTATGAGTAGAGAAACCTACAAAAATATAGCTGGCTTTATAATTTAGTTTTCATGGGCCTATATTTTGACAAATTTTGTGTCACATTCCTGTTCCTGGGCAAAAGAAAATCCTAGCCAGGTCTTAATCAACAATGAGCAAAAATATTTCTAACTTGCTTTGTGAAAATCCAAAACAACACAAAAAAAAAACAAAAAAAAAAACCATTCTCTGTGCTAGGGGTCATTTCAGGGTAATCTATCGTTTTGGGTACGTAAAATCGCCCGCGGCTATTAATGTACGAAAACGTTACCTCATTGTCAAGGCTGTAATAGAAGTATATTGTGATATGTTTGTGTCAAATATTATAGATAAATGAATAATAAACCTAAATCAATGGCTAAATATATCAATATAGGCCAGAAATTAACTTTAAACAGCAGTGCCTGCAAGCAAGATTTGCTATATAAACAGCGGCCATTTGTAAAATAGAGTGACTTCTGCCTGAATTTTGCGCTATATGTCAATAAAAATAAAACTTTAACAAGATGGCTGCTATAGTAAATGAGCATGGTTGCATCTGTTGGAAACATCGCTGGTGTTCATTTATTACTGAAAAGTTTTAATTCAATTGTTTAAAAACAGGTACATAAATGAAACAAGGAAACATTTTTGTATTTTTAACACGTTTTTCTTAACTCAGCTTCGCGTTTGTTTGTTTGTTTGGATGTTTGTTGTTAAAATTGACATCGAAAATTAGCCCACTTCTGATTGCTCTATAGACCTGAAATTTGGCATGCATGCTACTTTTGCCTAACAATTTCAGATGCAATCATAAAAACTAGCAATTAGTGACCGTAATTAGCTTAATTTAATTACGCCCCAAGGACCATAAAATTGAGGACATGATTTCTAAAGATACCGACAAGACTGGAGGCCTATTGACCCAGTTACTTCGGCCCCAATCGATGTGAGCGCGCTGGCCGTGATCGTATAGTGGTTAGTACTTCGCGTTGTGGCCGCGACAACCCAGGTTCGAATCCTGGTCGCTCAAGTTTTTAGTCCGTGTATTTATAAACACTTTTTTAAAAACCACGTTTTTCATGCGTAGCAACGGACTAAAAAGGAGAAAATAAAATACTTAAAAAAAACTTTTTAAAAAACCACGTTTTTCTTGTGGACTAAAAAGTAGAAAATAAAATTTTCTTTTGTGCTTCCTCGAGCTGTGCAGGTTCTTGTGATGACTGACAAAAAACGTGGGTCGGGCAGATGGGTCGGGAAATTTGATGGTGAACGTACCCACGTTTTTTGTCAGTCATCACAAGAACCTGCACAGCTCGAGGAAGCACAAAAGAAAATTTTATTTTCTACTTTTTAGTCCACAAGAAAAACGTGGTTTTTTAAAAAGTTTTTTTTAAGTATTTTATTCAAAACATAAATCCTCCTCAAAATGTGAAATAATTATTAAAATGTAAGGAGTCAACTGTTTTTCACATTACTAGTCGCGGGCGATTTTACGTACCTAAAACGATAGATTACCCATTTCAGTTCTGCTGTGAAGTGATAAGCAATTATTACGGTAATCTATCGTTTTGGGTACGTAAAATCGCCCGCGACTAGTAATGTGAAAAACAGGTGACTCCTTAAATTTTAATAATTATTTCACATTTTGAGGAGGATTTATGTTTTGAAAAATACAAAAATGTTTCCTTCTTTCATTTATGTACCTGTTTTTAAACAATTGAATTAAAACTTTTCAGTAATAAATGAAGACTAGAGATATTTCCAACAGATGCAACCATGCTCATTTACTATAGCAGCCATCTTGTTTAAGTTTTTTTTATAGCGGATATAGCGCGAGACAGGCGGAAGTCACTCTATTTTACAAATGGCTGCTGTTTATATAGCAAATCTTGCTCGCAAACACTGCTGTTTAAAGTTAATTTCTGGCATATATTGATATATTTAGCCATTGATTTAAGTTTATTATTCATTTATCTATAATATTTGACACAAATATATCACAATATACTTCTACTAAAGCCTTGACAATGAGGTAACTTTTTCGTACATTAATAGCCGCGGGCGATTTTACGTACCCAAAACGATAGATTACCATTATTACTAACCATTAGCCTAATTATAACTTCAATGACTAGATTCTAGATCTACCAGTGAGTTAGGCCTAGATCTAGATCTAATCTAGATCTAGAACTAAGAACTAGTCTAGATTTAGACTCTAGATCTAGATCTAGATCTATTTCTTTTCTAAGTCAAAAGTTTTCTTGTAGGCCTAGCCATACTCACTACTCAGCTGAGAAAATAAATTGTTGAAAATCCGTAGACCTAACTCTATTATTAGAGCAATGGGTTCTTACATGCTAAGCGTTCGGCAAAGGATGGTAGGATTTCGGCGTCTCTATCTGGAGGTTTCCAGCGGTATCTGACAGGCTGAAAATTTAAAATTTTACTAGTTTTCGTCAGCGTTCCAAGGCCGACTCGACTTCTCAGTGACAGTGTCATGCAGGTCGCCATTTTCAGAGTTGGCCAGATTAGTATACGAAAGCTGGCCGATTCACTTAATAAATAGGCCTGATGCTTCAACAATGGGAAATTTAGAAATGTATGAACAAATATTTTAAAAGAATTCTAGTCCTTATAAGTTATAAATATAAACTTCAAAAAATCATAATGACTTAGGTTGGCTTTTAGTAGGTAGCCTAGGATTAATTGATTCTCAAGGGTTAATTTCTCAGTTTGTTAATGTTTCGATTTAGATCTATGCCAAAGTCATAAGATCAAACTAATGTTGAATGCAGTATGTATCAGTATAAGTAGGATAAACTTTGGCTCTAATAATAAATATACGATTACTAGGCTAGATCTAGACTCTAGACGATTCTATTAAGGAAAAAATAACTACTGATGGTGTCAAGCAATGAAACGTTAGTGTTCACATTAATTAATAATAGAATTATAGTTTCAGTTGAACACCGGCAGAAGAGTTTCCCTTTTTCCCCAATTTTAAAAAAAAAGAAACATAAGTCCTACTAATGTTATTGTTAAGATAATGTAGTATAAACTAATTCTTTACTGCTCAGGAACTTCAAATTGTTTTTTTTTTTTACATAATACTATAGATAATAGCCTAGGCTTAACCTCAAAATTACTAAAAGTAGATCTAGATCTAGATCTTGATCTAGTAGTAATAGAATCTAGAATCTAGATCTAGATCTAGGATTACTACAGGATTAGACTAGATCTAGAGATTAGAGATACCTACAATAATATTATTATATGTCAGAGATTTGCTGTTATTTTGTTCCAAGTTGTTTAAGTCTTTTTTACTTTTATTAAAAGTCTTTTAAGATGACATTAGATTTTAGATCTAGATCTAGAATCTATAATATTAATATTATTATAATATTAATAATCTATAGGCCTATTTATAATCATCTAGATCTCTACTAAGTAACTATCTCTACCGCCGCTAGGCCAGGGGCTCATACTGTTAACCTAAGGATCTATGACTATGTTAAAAGTAGTTAAAACTATGTTTAATAATCGAAGTGACTACTCGGAAGAAGTTTTTCTCCCCAACGTCTCCACTTAGTCGGCAAAAGATAGCTCTGCGCATGCGCAGTGACCTATGGCTAGGGTTAGGGCTAGAATGAAAGTTAGGGGTATGATTAGGGTTAGGGATAGGATTAGGGTTAGGATTAGGGATAGGATTAGGATTATGGATAGGATTAGGGTTGGTGTTAGGGTTCTGCAGTTGTAAACACACGCATGCGCAGTACCATCGAAAACATCGCCGCGAAGACAAGTCGTAGTTTCTCTCCATTGCGCATGCGTATCGCATGCGTATCTTATTCCGTCTAGCATCGGCCTTTAATAATTAAACTTTAATGTAAAATTGTAAAGTTTGACTCGAAATATTGTCGCAATCTTCAGTTCTTCAGATTTATATTAAAAAATGTACCAATAACATTTTAAAATAAATACATTTATAAAACTATATGGCCTAGTTATGCCATGTTAATGTACATTTTCAGTGACAAAATGAAAACAACCAAATTTTTTTTTTTTTTTTTAGATTTTGTTTAGTTACTCAAGCTACTGAAAATACAAAAAATAAAAATCCCATCTAGATTCTATAGGAAATTCTGACAAAAACCAATCAGTCAGGTTTTTATAACATGATTCTTTGTTGAACATGATTGTCGTTTTTTCTTTACCAGGTGAAACAATGTTTTTATAACACAGTCCAGCACAAGTGTTTGAAATATGTTGAAAACTTTTCATATAAAAAGGTTGGTAAGCTTGTTGTGGAGTTAAAAGGTCCAATATTTTGTTAGGAGTGAAGTGTGAAGCAATCCAACTGTCTATGAGGTGTAAGTAACTCATACATACATAAGCCTGATGGCCATTTTAATTCACCAGCATATAGATTCTACTTATATAGAATCAAAACGGGAAAAGTTGGACACGGTAAAGGCAATCTAAATCAAATGTATTTGTAAAATAGAAAAATAAGTAACATATGTCATAATAATTAGTTTTTAGTTAAATAGCTTATCGTTTTCTTTTGTTAGAACTAAATTGAAGTGTTTTCTTTCTATTTCAGATGTTTGGCTTGCCATAAAGTCTTACTCTCCATTGGTGGATCAGCCAGAATCAAGTTGCAACCTCTACGCAGCTTTACTGTCCAAGATGCTTCAGTTGCTCTGCGACCATTTTTCTTTATTATACACCCTGACTTGTTTGGGCAGCACCCAAAAGAGCGGGTAATTGCCTTGGCCTTACTGTTGTTGTGTGTTTTAATTCATGTACAGTACATGGCATTACTGTTGTTGTATGTTTTAATTCATGTACAGCACATGTCATTACTGTTGTTGTGTGTGTTTAATTCATGTACAGCACATGTCATTACTGTTGTTGTGTGTTTTAATTCATGTACAGCACATGGCATTACTGTTGTGTGTTTTCATTCATGTACAGCACATGGCATTACTGTTGTGTGTTTTAATTCATGTACAGCACATGTCATTACTGTTGTTGTGTGTTTTAATTCATGTACAGTACATGGCATTACTGTTGTTGTGTGTTTTAATTCATGTACAGCACATGTCATTACTGTTGTTGTGTGTTTTAATTCATGTACAGCACATGTCATTACTGTTGTTGTGTGTTTTAATTCATGTACAGCACATGTCATTACTGTTGTTGTGTGTTTTAATTCATGTACAGCACATGGCATTACTGTTGTTGTGTGTTTTAATTCATGTACAGCACATGGCATTACTGTTGTTGTGTGTTTTAATTCATGTACAGCACATGTCATTACTGTTGTTGTGTGTTTTAATTCATGTACAGCACATGTCATTACTGTTGTTGTGTGTTTTAATTCATGTACAGCACATGGCATTACTGTTGTTGTGTGTTTTCATTCATGTAACAGCAGAAAAATATTTTGGATTACAAAACATCTGATAAACTTTGTGATTCTTGTTACTTTTTAAGTTTTTATACCATAACTCTCAAAAACAGTTTTCAACTCAAGAGTCTTGGATATTTAACTTAACCCTTCCATGAATTTTTTTTCTTAAACTTTGATTCATTCTTTTTTAAAATTCATTGAAATATATGTTTTGTGTCTTTATTATATTTATATCTAGATCTAGAATCTATATAACTTTCAAGTTTTAGTAATCTAAAATTAAACTATTTTATTTGCAAAACATTTTTCTTTTAGCTTATTTCCGTTAAACCTACCTTTTTGTTTGATTTCTCTACCAGGCAGTCAATGAAAACTCTCTAAAACTCCTCAATGCCTTTCTGTCAGAACAACCAACACACAGCCTGCACAGGGAGATGGAAATGGTTTTCTACATACGTTCCAACAGCAACGGCAGGCAGGGTATGTTAACTTCCCAGAATTCCTCATTACCACAGCCTCACACGTAGGTTACCGTATGCTATTGAAATGTCTTTATTAAAAACAGTGTCACTGATTTTTGGATGCCCAGTGCTTGGCTTTAAAAACAGATTAAAATGGTTTCTAATTTTAAACTTACAAAAATGTTAATTTTGATGAAATATACAATATATTCATTTTTTAATATTGAAAGAGGAGAAATAGTTATTGAATGTTATTAAAACTTCCAGTGATGAAACAGATAAAGGTGAAGCTACTCTCCTATAACCTGCATGAATCAGTGCGGAACATTCTGGGAGCCTGTGGTTTATCTACAGGGCACATGCCCGAGTTTACATCCACTAAGTACGTCTTTGTTTTTACATTAAGGTTATAGTTTGATCAACATTCATCTTCTGCTGTTATGTTGTGTTCCTTTAACTTTGTAATCCAAAAATGTTTTTTTTAAATGTGGTTTAATTTAGTTTATTTAGAAGTATTTCAGTAGTTTAAACATTGTCATTCACATCTATTCACACAAGGTGCATCCATATCTCCACACCATTCTATTATTTACATTTCAATATTTTATATTGAGCTAGTTTTAGTATATATGTTTATGGGCTAAAGAATAGTTGATTGACATTAGCTGCAATTATGTTTTAATTTTATTTACTGTTTGATAACTGGCTTATTGTTTACTAACTTTTTACTATTTTAAATAAAGGGAGGAGTAGACAAATGTATATGTTTATGAGAACTTTGTACTGTAATGTTTGAATGAAGGAATGACTTGCATCACTTCCTCTATCTAGCACAGACCGTCCCATTGACTGGCACCCATCCTACTACCAGGCTACAGGGAAGACAAATCCTAACGCCAACAACAGGACCCATAAACCTGCTTCATTAACACTCAGGTAACAGTTCATTGATTTGAACTGTCTTATAATAGCCATATTTATTTATCTAAATTCAGTTGTATGATCAATTTTTATGCATAACACCCTTAAATTGTTATCTGTTTATAATGACTTGACTGCAAAAAAGTATGATCTTGTGGTTATTGAAACAATTTTTTTATTTACCATCATTTTTTATGTTGGAAATAGAATGTGAAAACTGAGATTTTCTAAAGGGAGGTAATTGCAAACATAAAAGTACTGCTTTTCTAGTAAGGTTACTTGTATGAAGTAAACTCTGCTCTGAAAGAAACAAAACAAAAGACATCTTATTTTCTAAACCTAGAGGTTGGCTGCGGTTGAACATCGACAAGTCTAGGAAACACGAGGAGTCAGTGCGTCACATCCAGCAAGACATCACCAGGCTGATGCTCAAGCTGCAGGCTGACATAGGCGTGGGCGTCATCAGGTTTGACAGCGTCTGGGGCTTCCAACATTTTCGTGGCTGTCTCAAGTCTTTTGATCGGCTCAACAACGATTACCCACAGTTCCTGAAACATGTCTTAAAAGGTGGGTCATGTTTTTGATTGGCTCAACAACGATTACCCACAGTTCCTGAAACATGTCTTAAAAGGTGGGTCATGTATTACTTAAACCCATGTTAGCACATGGTGTTAAAAGTCGAATATAGAATACATTTTTAAAAAAATTAAGTTGATTAATAAATAATATATAATTTTAAAGTTTAAATAGCATTTAAATTACATTGATTGATAGAATATTAAAAAATTTTAATTTGTTAAGAGAATACATTGTTAATAAATATATTGAATTAATGATAAAAAAAAGCACTGAAGATTATTAACTATTAAATGTACTACAGTATTGGCAGCTGATTTTTTTAACCTATGTATAAAATTGGATGACAGCTTCAATTTAAAATTTCTTTAATTTCTTCCAGGTCGGACTTTGGTGTTTGGTAACAACACAGGTGTGAGTCGTCTGGGCGAGATTGTGCTTAGTAGTGAGGATGTGCCACAGACGTGGGTCACTGTGAGTTGTGTGCTGGGTCACTTGTTGTTTTATGTGCTGGGTCACTGTGTTTTATGTGCTGGGTCACTGTGTGTTGTTTTATGTGCTGGGTCACTGTGTTGTTTTATGTGCTGGGTCACTGTGATTTTTTTGATTTTTTTGTTTAAAAAAACTTGGCTCTTAAAAACAAATTTAACTTCCTGATATTCTAACTAGGTTTCTATTACATTTTTTTTGCCTGTCTAGTTATCAGTAGAAGGTGCCAAAAAAAAAGAAAGATTCCCCAAAAAGAAGAGGTTAAAATATTTAAAAGTTCTGTTTAGAGTTTATGGTGCTATGAAAACTTAAGAAATTTTTTATTTTTTTTAAATTGGCAGCTCCTTCAGACAGTGCCAGCCTACGACGCGGTGCTGGCCAGACTGCCCATCATGGAGGCCAAACTTTCTTCCCTGTTGAACGACATCCAAGTGGTCAGACGGGAGAAACAGAACTACAGAATCATGGCCGAGGAGTACGAGCTTCTCCTCAACAAGATACTCAACTCTCTACGACGACGCCAGGACCAGGTGAAACTTGTCTTTGGGCACACAGACTTGTCTCCCCTACAGCTGGTTGTTGAAGGGTAAGAGATTCCTCTGGCAGTTTGGTGAGGCGTGTCTCCTTGTGGAGGCTTGGCATAGTGCTAGGGGAGTCATGAAAAGTTTAACTGATATTTTAACTTACAAAAAAAAAATCATTTATTAAAATGGAAAGAAGTTTTAAAAATGTAATTTACGACTTGATAGAAGATTCTTTCCAGGTTAAAATTTGATTAGCATCATTGGTCATCTACCCTTAAAACTGTTCAGCGAGCTACTCATTCGGAGTTGAAAGTGGACGAGGGGTTGTATATTTCTTTAAAACACAAAGAAGTTAAGAAAATTAACTTTTTATCAGTGCAAAAATTGAAACTAAATGTCAGTGTTTTCGTGTATTTATCTTCATTTAAAAATTGAAAACTCATTTTTTAATTTGAAATAAACAATTTTAAAAAAATTTATACATCAAATGGTCAGCTAGAGATCACTCTTTCACGTGATTCTAAGATTATGTAAATACATAAATGTAAGTAAATGTGTATATAATTGTAATATTTGATAATCAATATAATAATATATTACTTTTTTAAAAAGTTTGACTTATTGAAGTGTAGGAAAAGGTAGAATTGTAATGCATTAAATATAATATTGCTTTAGTCAGTTACATCCCATTTATAAAACAAATAAAATTCAAGGGAGACAACATATAAAATGTTTTTTACAAGTCTTAAAATTCAGATAAATTCAATAGTGTGAAAATAATACTGTAAATCATTGTTAATTATTGTAGGAAACAGGAATTTAAAAAAAACTTACTTTTTGACTGTTACTCTAATCCTTACACTCCTTACATTTTTGAGATATCATTTGACACTAGTTAAATTCCAAAACTGTTAGCTGTGTTACTTACCTATTTAAAATAGCCATAAATATCATAAGTAATTTAAACACTATTGTAACAGTAAATCTTTTGCATGAAGTATTACATTTTATTTCCAAATGGTTTCCTTGTCTAGTGATAGAATAGTAGGAAGACCTACTTGAATCTGCCCATCTGAATGATTAAAATGGACTTAGTTCCTGTGTTTAGCAGTAATTGTTGGGATAGTACTTTAAGTAGTAGAGAAATGGTAGTTAAGTTATTGACAAAAATGCTCAGTTTTTAGATTTGTTAGAGAAATTAACAGAAACATACATGTAAGATCGGATATGTAATTTTGTCCACATGATACACACACACACATAGAGATAAGATCGCTAAACTGACTTAAGATGGTATAAAACAATATTATACCTATGCAAGAAAGTTTAAATTAGCATCTTTGTCTAAACCATTAACTTTTTCAATTCCAATCTACTTTACTTTGTCTTGGCATATTTCTTGTGGGCTCTGGAAGCTAAAGGGTTTAAATTAAACCAGTTTAATAATTTGGCTGGTTGAAAAAAAAAATTCTCTACAATCAGCGGCATCAAAGGTGGTCTAATAAACATTAGTGATATCTTCCATGTCTAACAAACATTAGTGATATCTTCCTCGTCTTATAAACATTAGTGATATCTGCCACGTCTTATAAACATTAGTAATATCTTCCTCGTCTTATAAACATTAGTGATATCTGCCACGTCTTATAAATATTAGTGATATCTTCCTCGTCTTATAAAAATTAGTGATATCTTCCTCGTCTTATAAACATTAGTGATATCTTCCATGTCTAACAAACATTAGTGATATCTTCCTCGTCTTATAAATATTAGTGATATCTTCCATGTCTAATAAACATTAGTGATATCTTCCTCGTCTTATAAATATTAGTGATATCTTCCATGTCTAATAAACATTAGTGATATCTTCCATGTCTAACAAACATTAGTGATATCTTCCTCGTCTTATAAATATTAGTGATATCTTCCATGTCTAATAAACATTAGTGATATCTTCCATGTCTAACAAACATTAGTGATATCTGCCTCGTCTTATAAACATTAGTGATATCTGCCTTGTCTTATAAACATTAGTGATATCTTCCATGTCTAACAAACATTAGTGATATCTTCCTCGTCTTATAAACATTAGTGATATCTTCCATGTCTAAGATGAAGTTCTAATACATTTTATTGAGACCTTCCTTGGAATAGTAATTAAAAAATATATTTTAGTGTAGGCCTACTTTGTTATCAATGATAAAATTGATACATTACACAGGATTTTTTTTTCCAGAGAATCAAGTCCAATGATGCTGTCGTCCTTTGGTCACTTTTTGGTTCCAGCCTCCATCCCTGGCACCCTGCTCATAGATTTCATCAGGGACAATTCGGAAAAGGCCAGGTTTATACTGCGGGATATATCTGGGTCAGTTCACACACACATCGGGAGGGGGGGGGGTTCACATCTTACAGGGTGAGGTCACACGTCACTTTACATTGTGATGTGTGATTTACAATGTGATGAGGTTAATGGAACTGAAGATTTGTTATAAAAGGTGAACCACCTCTGAAAATTGAAGTAAATTTAGTATTTATAACAGTTATTGACATAGTACACACAGTTTTATTTTTGTTTTTTTAACTGCCATCATGTGCTAACATCTCAATAAATTGTCCTCTACATGTCGTCAAATTCTCCCGTCTGCAGATTTCTGGAGGAAGAGGAACAGTGCACACACAGAGCTATTGATGCCCTGGGACTGTCAGAACTTCTGAAAGACGAGAGCGTGACCCCCGCGCAGATGATTTCCTGCTGCACCAGGTTCTCTGAGCAGCACTGGCGGCTGGGTGTCTCGCTGGAGAGGTCAAGGGTCAGGGTGTCACACTACTACTCCGTCATGCAGGACGGACAGATTTGTGTCCCCTGGGACTGGCTGGGGGATGATGACTGACAGATGACATCATGATGACATGACAGATGACATAATACTGACAGTTGACAAAGTGCTGTCCGTGGATGATGAGACTTGACGGATGACATAATCACAGTACACATGGCATAATGATGACAGGTTATACAATATACTGCTGTTCTGTTAGATGACAAGACAGAATACATGACATAGTGATGACAGATGACATAACATGGCTGTCAGGTACAAAGACAGTGTCAGCTGGTGATATAACAGACAGACCACAGTATCCACCCTATGAATGTTTTCAACTTTCCCAAACTGGTTCCCTCCCCTTGTAGCAAATCTTGGTGGAAAAAATTATTGGATTCACAAAAAATTTAACATCTCTCAGATGATAACTTTATTACAGTGGTAAGAAACTATCAAATTCACAGATAATTTAACATCTATAAACCTCTCTGATAATGCCTTGAGGAGAGTCTGTTGAGCGCTAGTTTATAAGAAGTTTAAATCCCTTGAATTATTTATTCTCTATTAATCTATGGGATCACTGTGTACACGATTTCATAAGTTATTTTTTTTTTTACTTTGTTTTTATAAGAGGTAGATCTGGATGAGAGAATCTAAACTGATAGCAAATGGTATGTAAATATGTATGTATGTACTGGTAGTTAGTTTAGATGTGTGGCACCCAAGTCTTTCTAACTGTCAGTATTCACACAAGGTTTTCTTGCCTTAGGGCACACTACAATGTTGAAATTTCGACCAATAAAAGTGGTTCTAAATGTCAAATAAACCATCAGAGCTGTATTTGTTGCTGTTTTAAAAATAGATTGGACCTGTTTTATATAAGTTTGTCATCTGTTACTTAATGTATGTGTTAACACACCACCATCAGGTGTGCTAACACTAAGACACCACCATTAGGTGTGCTAAGACACCACCATCAGGTGTGCTAACACTAAGACACCACCATTAGGTGTGCTAAGACACCAACATCAGGTGTGCTAACACATCACCATCATGTGTGCTAACACTAAGACATCACCATCATGTGTGCTAACACTAAGACATCACCATCATGTGTGCTAACACTAAAACACCATCATCAGGTGTGCTAACACACCACTAGCTATGCATCACACAATATACTGGACTACTTCTGTTTTCTAGAACTACTAGTAAAAGAAGACCCCTGGCCTGACATATTTTTGATACACAGAATCTTGTTAAGATACTAAACAGTTGAAAAGGGGAAATATCTTGTTGGCTAAAGCTTAAAGATAATTACGTCTAGTAATCTTTTCTGGCCTCAATATATATTGTCAGTTACAATTTGACACTGCTGCTGACATTGCCAGGACACCATCTCACCAAGCGACCAAAGTTATGTACAACAGGGTTACCAGATTGGCCGCAGCTAGATAAATAGCCTCCATTTACCCAGCTCGTATATTTAAACCAAACATCTTCCGATTAGACGGGTTATAAACGTTATCTATGAATTATGCAGCAGTATACTGGAGTCACGGAGTGGTCTAGCTGTAGAGATCTGGACTTCTAACCCGTAAGTCTTGAGTTCGAATCCGGGTTCAAGTCAGTAGACCGTCCCAGAGTCCACCCAACTATGGTGGGTACCTAACTCACGTTAGGGAAAGTAAAGGCGGCTGGGCATAGTGCTGACCACACTATCTCTTCATATGCCGAGGTCACAGAAACAAGTGAACTCTACTTCACTTACCCTATAGACCGTCAGGTTTGAAAAGGGAACCTTATACTGGAGTCAAGGTTTTAAAACAAGCTGTTCAAAATGTCTTTAACCAAATTCTGCTGATGATTTCACAACTTAGTATTGTTCCCTCCCAAATCTCCCGCCAATTATTTCTGTATGCGTCTGTTGTCAGTTTGATCAATCGCCCCGACGTCTGCCCGCTCATGGAGGCAATTAAAAAACATACAGACGAACCAGCTGTCAAAAGAACAAAGCTCGGCCGTTTGTCAACATTGGGTGGCCAGATTTATGCTGTCATGTCGCATTGTGCCAGTTTGTCCTACACTAGGGCCATTTTCCACGTCAACTCTTTTAATTAATTCATGCAAATTATTGAGTTCGTTGTTTCGTCGTGTCAATCAATATTACTTTTTTGGTAAATAGAACTTGTGTCTGTTCTGATTATAACAGTCTGTGGCGTCATTAGGTCGTGTGACACCCTGTGCAGTGCACCCCTCACCACCACCCACACCCCCTGCGTCCGCCTTTCCACTGTACAGATAATCATAGATTATTATTCCGTTTTTATTATTAGCCACATTTTAAATAAGCGTATTGATGTAGGTCTGCTATTTCTTAGAAATGTAGTTAATGGGGAGCTTTGTACTGGTAGTCATGGGCAATGACATACATGCGTGGAGTCGACTCCAAACTTTTGAATGGCTTGTAAACATTACTCAACTACATCATCCATTGCTGATTATGGATCAGTGCACTAGGTGGCATCGGGATGTCAGTACACCTCGTGTCATTTGGGGTCGGTATGCCACATGTCATCTAGCTCGGCTAAACACACCCACGTCCTGGTTTAGATGACATCACTTGACATCTGGCATTAGTGAGTCTTCACGTGACCGGATGTCTATCTACATGTCGGTTGTCATGGTAACCAGAGATTTGAATGTGTGGGACTTCTAGTTGTGAGGGCCGCACCCACCCACACAACTCCCACACCGCGTCAGGAACCCCATATGCTGAAACACGAAACTTGACAGGACTTCCGGTGCGTCATGTTCCGTAGGCGGAAGTCCCAGATCCTCTTGACACCGGAAGTCGTCCTAAAATGGCTGCCGACTTTTTCCCGCTAAAATTGTAACGTTATGACGGACACATTTTTTTAAAGACTTCACACCATGAAATGTGTTGTTTGGTAAAGGTTGGCGTAAATATGTGCAATCTTATAAATACCACTGTATCCAAGATTACCACGACCATAAGTAGACCAAAGCCAAAGTATTGCCATTGTTTTCTTGATACCGTGCATACTTTTATCTTACTTCTTATGATTGTCATCTTATCCTAATCCACTTCTTTTTCTTTCTTACATAAAAAGTGAAGATTCCTTTTAGAACCTAATAGGGTAGATGAAGTAGAGTTAATCTCGTACCCCAATATCACCTACAGTGACCTCGTGACCCCATCCTTGTGATATAGTTCCGAGAGTTCAGCAAGTCTCGGGCTCCACTTCTCCTCTAGCTGATACTAAATTACACTTCCTGACAATCAACTTCCTGTGATACCTTTGAACCACAAATACCCCCCTCCTCCCCACACACACACACTTTCCAATCCGTTAACGTTCTTTTGTACATTTTATTTGTTTTGTGTTTTTGCTTATTTTTATCAAAAATAAATAAATAAAAAAAAAAAAAAACGAGGGTTAAAATAAAGTGTGCTAAACTTGGTTAGGGAAAACAACAAGAAAAAAAGTCTGACGCCAAACATGGCGGCACCATACGACACCACGTGATCAGCCACTTGTATGAGGTTAAAGATGTCTGGTAATAAAATACATCTTAGAAACAACACTTCACATCAACCAAATATTTTTCAAGTTTTGATTTCAAACTTTCAAAAACAACAACAACTAAGGATTCATATCATTTTAAACATATATTCGAAGTTGACACTTTTATCAGAGGCGGAGCCACCCTTTTAGTTTTAGGTACCCGAGGCAATACATAAGTTTAGTGACCACCCCCCCCCCTCCCATTTAAAGTACCCCACCTCTATTTCTAAAAATCTGAGCCTTTTTTACCAGTCACTGTCCGTTCACAGATTTTATGTTGGTGCCACAGAATGGATGTAGATTACAGTTACATAAGTCCGTAAGACAATAAACAGCAACTTCTTGTCTTAAAGTTGACCGGATTGGCGCTCCCACTCTCGATCATTTCCTGGTGCATTATGGGACTGTACCAGTGACCCGATCATCTCCTGGTGCATTATGGGGCTGTACCAGTGACCCTATCACTTGCTGGTGCATTATGGGACTGTACCAGTGACCCGATCATCTCCTGGTGCATTATGGGGCTGTACTAGTGACCCGATCACTTGCTAGTGCATTATGGGGCTGTACCAGTGACCCTATCACTTGCTGGTGCATTATGGGACTGTACCAGTGACCCTATCAACTCCTGGTGCATTATGGGACTGTACCAGTGACCCGATCATCTCCTGGTGCATTATGGGACTGTACCAGTGACCCTATCATCTCCTGGTGCATTATGGGACTGTACCAGTGACCCTATCATCTCCTGGTGCATTATGGGACTGTACCAGTGACCCGATCACTTCTTGGTGCATTATGGGACTGTACCAGTGACCCTATCACTTGCTGGTGCATTATGGGGCTGTACCAGTGACCCGATCATCTCCTGGTGCATTATGGGACTGTACCAGTGACCCGATCATCTCCTGGTGCATTATGGGACTGTACCAGTGACCCGATCATCTCCTGGTGCATTATGGGACTGTACCAGTGACCCTATCACTTGCTGTTGCATTATGGGACTGTACCAGTGACCCTATCACTTGCTGGTGCATTATGGGGCTGTACCAGTGACCCTATCATCTCCTGGTGCATTATGGGACTGTACCAGTGACCCGATCATCTCCTGGTGCATTATGGGGCTGTACCAGTGACCCGATCATCTCCTGGTGCATTATGGGGCTGTACCAGTGACCCGATCACTTGCTGGTGCATTATGGGGCTGTACCAGTGACCCGATCACTTGCTGGTGCATTATGGGGCTGTACCAATGACCCTATCAACTCCTGGTGCATTATGGGACTGTACCAGTGACCCGATCATCTCCTGGTGCATTATGGGGCTGTACCAGTGACCCGATCATCTCCTGGTGCATTATGGGGCTGTACCAGTGACCCGATCATCTCCTGGTGCATTATGGGGCTGTACCAGTGACCCGATCATCTCCTGGTGCATTATGGGGCTGTACCAGTGACCCGATCATCTCCTGGTGCATTATGGGACTGTACCAGTGACCCTATCACTTGCTGGTGCATTATGGGACTGTACCAGTGACCCGATCATCTCCTGGTGCATTATGGGGCTGTACCAGTGACCCGATCACTTGCTGGTGCATTATGGGACTGTACCAGTGACCCGATCATCTCCTGGTGCATTATGGGGCTGTACCAGTGACCCGATCACTTGCTGGTGCATTATGGGGCTGTACCAGTGACCCTATCATCTCCTGGTGCATTATGGGACTGTACCAGTGACCCTATCATCTCCTGGTGCATTATGGGACTGTACCAGTGACCCGATCATCTCCTGGTGCATTATGGGACTGTACCAGTGACCCTATCACTTGCTGGTGCACTATGGGACTGTACCAGTGACATGATCATCTCCTGGTGACCATTAAACACCCGGTTAATTAAACATTTCTTTACTGATTTATGCAACCCTAAGCGAGTTTCTTTAAACTGCACAGTTTGTAATCTGAAATGAAAAAAAAATTATCTTTCAATAGGTTGAAAACATTTCCACATGCATATATATGTACATGTATGTTTAGATGTAACTTATATAGGGTTGAGATATATATGTACATCTATGTTTAGATGTAAGTGTAACTTATATAGGGTTGGGATATATATGTACATCTATGTTTAGATGTAAGTGTAACTTCTATAGGGTTGAGATATATATGTACATGTATGTTTAGGTGTAACTGTAACTTATATAGGGTTGAGATATATATGTACATGTATGTTTAGATGTA